CAACATCCATTCCCATTACAAGGTCAGTCTATACATCACAGCAGCTCAGGAGCAGAGACACATCATTCAGTTGTCCCTGCCATGGGAACGAGACCATGGGTAGAGCAGTACGGGCGGCGGAGAAGCAGTGATCATTGCAGCCACTCCAGCTGCACCTGCCTGCAACTGCCAGCCAGAACCGCAAGACGGATGTTCAGGGGAAAACGCCTTTAATGCTTTTTTACACCAGCACTCAAGGAAACACAGCCTGAACCCAATTTAACCTTGTCATGCATTTGTACTTAATATTATGTTACAGAAAGACTGGCTCCCATTTGTTAATATGCTTTTGGCAATCAGAAAATGTACTATGATCATCCAGATTTGTTTGTACACTTAAAAATAAATTAGTAACTGAACATATGCTTATTCATAGTCTCAGTGTTTACAGTTTTATGTTGAAATGGTGAGTGACGTTCTGTATTTATTAGTACGTCCAGTTTCATCTGACAGCAATTATAATTAAAAATTCCCCCAAAATAACTATCAAAATGCATGCTAAACAAACTTGAAATATGTATGTGCTGGTTTTGGCTGGGATAGAGTTAATTTTCTTCATAGTAGCTGGTATGGGGCTGTGTTTTGGATTTGTGCTGGAAACAGCGTTGATAATACAGGGATGTTTTCGTCACTGCTGAGCAGTGCTGACACAGAGTCAAGGCCTTTTCTGCCTCTCTCCCCACCCCACCAGCGAGTAGGCTGGGGGGGCACAAGAAGTTGGGAGGGGACACAGCCGGGACAGCTGACCCCAACTGACCAAAGGGATATTCCACACCATATGACGTCATGCTCAGCATAGAAAGCTGGGGGAAGAAGGAGGAAGGGGGGGACGTTCGGAGTGATGGCGTTTGTCTTCCCAAGTAACCGTTAGGCGTGATGGAGCCCTGCTTTCCTGGAGATGGCTGAACACCTGCCTGCCGGTGGGAAGTAGCGAATGAATTCCTTGTTTTGCTTCGCTTGTGCGCGCGGCTTTTGCTTTACCCATTAAATTGTCTTTATGTCAACCCACAAGTTTTCTCACTTTTACTCTTCTGATCTTCTCCCCCTTCCCGCCTCGGGGGAGTGAGTGAGCGGCTGTGTGGTGCTTAGTTGCTGGCTGGCATGTATGATACAAAAACATCTTGATATTTTTCTTTAGTGTATTTAAAATGTGCTGTTTAAGAGAACAAGGAAAGTATTGTCTGTAAACAATTTATTCTTCTGCCTCTGGTCACAACCTCCTTCAGCAATTAGAAGATCTGAACATTTCATACCTTCCTCTTACAGAGAGTTTGGAAGAGGCAAATTTCTAATTCCCAACTGATTATCAAATTTGAGTGAATCTGAGACACTGAAGTCAAGTACCTGAAAAAACTGACGTGAAAAGCAACTTCATCATTACCAAAAGCTCATTTAGCAGTTTAGCAACTCCTAGGTCCAGCTCCTTCTGCCAGGTCAGGGGTCTGATACTCTTTTACACTTCCGGGCAGCAGACATACAAAGTTTGAATTTTATTTGGTTTTCATTTAAGTGGCTTTAATAGATTACAGTAGAGATTAACATCCTATGTAGAAGCCTAATTTCAATTCAGCTTTGAACAGATCTGATTTCTACCTTCAGACTTTTTACATTTAAAATATCACTGCTTTTCATCCACTCTGCTGAAGTTGAAGGCAAGACACTTGGCTTGCTGACCGAAAGAGGCACACCCACTCACTGCATTAATAAAACAAGGTTACAGGCAGCCACGGATCTGAGCCTGGGGAGCTCCTCAACACAGTCACTGAAAGCACTGACCACCATAAACACTGGTGTATACAAGGACAAAGGGACAAAAGAGCGAGACTCCCCACTTATTAATGCATCTTCTCTTGTGTAGCTAAAGCACCATATGTACCCGGCTCTGCAGGCTGACAGCGTATAAAAGCAGCAGGTACTTATAAACTCTTAGCAGACAGCAAGGAAAAAAAAAGTCAGAGCTGAAAAATGAAGCACACTACCACCATCACGGTCTGAGGTCCACCGACCTCCGCAGAACGACAGCTCCCACCTGACCTCACTGGGCTTTGGATCAAATTCCAAATGCACAAGGTAAGCTTTAAAGAGATGCAAGCGGCCAGCCATAAACATCCCTTACTGCCAACCCCTACTGACCTTTGGCTGGTTAAAACATTACACGACACAGACTGTGCCTCTATTCTTTCAGGTTTTCCCATCTATCCATCTGGGGCAATGCAGTTAAACCCCCCACCTTCTTTTCTCTCTGGGATGGTCTCATTATTCATAAATATATCCAAAAAACCCATAAAGCTAAACTGCTTCTTTGTGCATATAAACATGTGCTTTGATTTAAGGGCATATCTGTTGAAAGCCATCAGAAGTCAGGACTGCAAGGATGCTACGGTTCCCCTGTGGGTGTAGGGCAGGGAACATGAAGGACCCTCCATCCCTGACCCAGAAGTGGTAAAGCAAAGGGCAGCGGCCACGAGGCACTCAGCCAGCGGTCCCAGCCACTGGAGCCACAATGCAGACAGCTTCCCAGGGGAATACCACTGTCCTTGACCCTCCTTGATCTCCATTACGGAGGCCATACCACGAGACCTCGGAAAGAGATCGGGCAGCGTGAAAGGGAATGGCAATGAAGGTGTCTCCAGGGCTCCAGACTGAGCATGAAGGACTTCCCCAGGGATAAAGCCAGCGAGGCTGCCGGTTGCAGAAGAGCACAAGTATATACAGTGGGAGGGGAAGCAGACGCGGCAGTCACACACCTTAGTGTAGACAAAAAGATAGCTCTTTCAGTAGTTTCTGGTAAGAAGCCAGAATATTTTGAAGAGCAGTTAGCGAGAAATGTGAAGTGTGCTGCACAGTGGCAAGTGCACTCTGCAAGACTTTTAGTCTGAGCTAGCTAAATTTACAGCTATGCCTACCTACTTAAAGTAACCTGGATCACAGCTTAGCTCTGTATATGCAGCCTCCCCAACAAATCCCAGTGCATTTGAATTTCATCGTATCTAGACTTCTATTTTGCAGGTATTAAAACAAAAGCAGAAAAAGGATCAGGATCACAGTGAAGATCAGCACCCGACCATTCCTAGCTCCCAGGTCCGTCCTCAGACCAAACCTCCAAAACCGGTCTGCCACTGTTCCAGTGAAAAGTCCTGCCCCTAGAACCTTGCACAACACGTTGCTGAAATACACGGCACAGTTTGCTCACCATGACATATGGCCCAGCAGTGAAGAGGACAAAAGCCATGCCGGTCAGCAAAAAGGTAAGATGTAGGTAGGGGCATCAACTAAAGTCTCATTTTATAAAGTTGCCCGATTCTGGCAGGCACCTTCAGCCTTTCCAGCTACACCGATTCCCATGTAGCAAGAGCCATTTCTTTATTTGTCAAACTAATTTGCTGGTGAGGACGTGAGGGACTGACAGCCCTTTCCACACATGATATGATGCAGACAGGCACTGAACACAGCAGACTGGAAAAACAACACTGAAGAACATCTCCACCTTAAAGGTGCTATCTCACCAACAAAATATATAGCAGATCTGCATCGGCCCAGACCATTACTTTCCCTGGCAAGGACTTGGGGACAAAGCTCCTTAAAACAGTAGTAATCATATTCCACTCATGCTCCTTTTTACTGCCAGCTGTAAACTAGCTCCACATGCATCATGGTTTTGCATCAAAATGTGCACAGACCAAACCCATATCCAAAGGGACAAGGTAGATCCAATTTACAGCTTTGACAGGTCTGTGCACCCGAGGTGGAGCGTGCAGGAAATAGCCTGACATCTCACTTGGAGAGCGGTTAAGACCCTGCTAGCAGAACTGGATGCAGAGCCACAACAGCCACCCACAAAGACCCAGCAAAAGAGCAGGGAATTTGCTGTCCTTTTTTCAAGAAACACGAGAGGCAGGCGGCACACACCAAGGCACTACTGGGGAAGAGAGGAGTCAAGTTTGATCCCAACTTGCAGCATCCCTTTGACAGGACAAGCCCAAGGGAAACCATAGCTGCACCAGGAAACGAACACACTGTATCAAGTCACTTCAGTAATGAGATACCACACTGAAAACCACTTAGCCTTTAGTATATTCAAAACAAAACAAATGGAAGTTATTCTGACCCAATGCATATATTACTAGCAATACCCATAAGATGCCAATTGCTTGGCAGAAGAGGGTGAGGAGTCCAAGTTCAATCTAGAGACTCAGAAGTTCTGTTTGTTTGTTACCAACCCAATATTAGGTTGGTTTTTTTTTTTTTTTGGCACGGTTTTCTAATCTAAATGGAAAACCTAGGCCTATCCTGCTGACAACTGAAAATATATTTACTAATATGCTCTACGCTACTACAGAAGAACTGTCTGCAGAAAAACCTCTGTACTTCATCTGGATCTCTGTATGTCTCAAGTGGTAGGGCACTGGAAAATGTCTCTGAAGCTGAACTCTTCCTGTCTCATTACACTCCAGAGTTAACACCCATGCAGGGTAACTTCAGCAAGATCAGATAGCTCCAAACTATTGTTCTTCTCTACTTCGAAACACCATTATGTTGCATATATTCATATCATTCAAACTCTTCTTTTCCTACAGCTTTGGCTACCAACAGCCTTTTTCCTTGCAGAATCAAACAAGGCTGCCATGAGTACTCTACTAATGCAGGTTCCCAGCCAAAAATTTTTAGACCCTCCCCAGTTCAGGCAGATGACAAGCATACACGACAAAGATGTTTTCAATAACACATGAATTGTCACTTCCTTGATGGAAATCAGGCTCCTTCATTTCATTCCCACTGAACGGTCCTGGCATTGCTCCTGAGAGAGCGGGTGACTGGCAAGAGCCCTGGAGGACCAGTAACAGAAAGGAGGTGGGACAAACCAGAGAAAACAAGTGAGCCAGCACTGTGCTTTTTCCTTCCACCTCTCAGAACAGCAGCAGCAACTCGCAAGGGGAAAATTAACAGCATTGGCTATTTACCTGAGGATGAATCTGTGGTTTATCACACGTAGCCTCAAAATCCAGCACTAAGAAGTAGTGATATCTCTGTGGAGGGAAGGATGACATTGCTGCCATGGAAGCTCCAAAGCCGTGGGACGCCAGTTTCCTGCTTACGATGGAGCCGTACCCTTTGAGAACACCAGCCGGGAGGAGGGAGCACACAGCTTGTCTTGCCCTTGGAAGTAAGTTTTGGGGAAACTTTGCTGCTCCAGTATGGAGGAGTGCTATCATTGAACATCCAGGGGCATCTGAAACTGAAGACAGACTCACGTTACTCGTGCACACATACATCTCATCTCTGCTAGTACCTCTTCACTGGCCTTCCCTGTCAGGGATTTTCTCTGTGTTTCCCAGTGGAGGTTCCAGCATTGCAAACCTGAAATAACACAGTAACCTGCTCTAAGCACAACAGATGACATTTGGACTGAGCTCAAGGTGTCCAGAATCACGGGCAACTGGAAATTAACCTCTGCAAACAGCTCTAAATTAAGAACTATGAGACACACACCAGTCATGGCTCCAGGCACCAGACCACACCCCCCTGCTGAACCTTATCATAGCAGAACACAACATAAACCACTTCAACATAGAAAATCTGATCTAAACCCCACTGAAATTTCTGAGGAGGCCTTTCGGCTTTTCATACACAATGCAACTTCTGATACGTGGCAGGAATTAAACACAGCAATACACATATCAACACTACAACCCATCCAAACAGCTTGGCCCTGAAACACCTGTTAGTCACACCAAAACCTCCCACTTCCATTACAAGTCCACGCATCTGGTGGCTGGAAGGCTTCGCCCCAGGGGAGTTCTCATTTGCCCTGTGCATGAGGTTTCTCAGAGATGTGATTCTAGTGCTACACCTGATTTCTTACTTCAGGTATTTCCCAGAGGAGGATATCGGTTCAACAAACCCACACGTGAACTGCAGGGACTGCAGGAACTGTAAAACGCAAGCAGGACTCTATAGGTTACAGTCTCCCTCCCAAAGAAATACCTCACCCAGCCATCACCTTCTGATGCTTCTATTTAAGAAATGCCATTTAATAAATTATATTACCCATGTGATACTGCCTGGATATCCCCCCTGCCCTTTTTCTTTTAAAACGTTGCAGGAAAATCTTGACAGGACTGTCACTGCCCAAGGTGGGCCAGCCCTGGGGCTGTTAATAGATTTGTTGGGATGTTCAAGCCCAACTCAGAGGTGTTACATAGCTGGGTTACAGTGACAGATAGCAAAACAGGCAAACTGCAACCACCCAGTCCTCTTGAATAAGGATATGAGTTCCCCCTCTAACTATATATATACACACACACACCTCGCTACGTAGAGATTTAAAATCCATCCCCACGGTTGGTCCCACTGTTCGTGGCTCTGGGCAAGAGCTCCATCACACCACGTGCTACCCACCCGCCTGGTTTCTGAGCCTGGCCTCCCCACGCCTGCGCTCGCTTTTCGCTCCGCCATGAGGGGCTGGAAGCGCCCGCCGCAAGAAACAGAGCCGAAACGGGCAAAGCAAAACGGAGGACTCGCCGCCCGCAAACAAAGTCGCTGTTTGCACAAAAGACAGCGTTTGCTCTCTCCCATCCGTTAGTCCGTCAGGTAAATAATGCACGTGCCAAAACACACACTTAATGAGGTAAATAATATGCCTTGAATAACGGCTAAATCTGTATTTACCTGCGAGACCAGAGAAACTCGGAAGGACCAGATTAGGAGATAATTGCTGCTGAGCAGGTTGTGTGCTTCAAGTAAACACGCATTTGGTAACCTTCCCTTTCCAAGGTTTTGAGTGAAAGGCAAAAATCAAAGGAGCTGAGATGTTTAAGATGGAGCCAGTGCCCACGCTGCCAATTCCACGGCGTAAATGCATCCCCACCTTGTGGCTTTCATGTTTTGGGGGGCTGCTTGGTTTAGTAAAGCAGCGTGCCAGGCAGCAGGTACCCGGAAAACTGAAAACTCAAGTTACAAAACCATAACGAAGAGCCCAACATTGCATTTATCCTAAAGGGGCTCAGTTCTACCTATTGCTTTTCCATCTACAGTTTTTACTGTCATTAATAAATGCATTACAGCCAAACAGAGGTTAGTTATATTCACTTCTAACCTGCCCCAGATAAGAGATATTTAAGGTATACGTGCTTTAAATCTTCAAGCTACCAGCTATGAATCTAAAGGCCCATCACAGCAAATATAATATCTCAGACTAAAGCAGCTTGTAAGTTAGTTGTGGTAGAACCTGGTCTTTAGCCTACTGCAAAAAGTAAAATATACAGTTGGAGTGGGGGAGGCAGGCAGGCTCCAACCCCTACATCAAACACAGGCAACAAAACATACATGATCCACCCACACCAGCAAGATCAGTACTTCTCTAACGTATCTTAATCAGCAAGACTAGGGCGTCAGACACGAACCCCGCAAATCTTCAGGCTGGCCCGCACCATGCACAGGGGTGCAGAGGTTCCTGAGCCACTGAGTCCACGTGGCAAACATAAACCGGCCATCTCGGCAGGAGTCAGGCACGTCACCACGCAGACACGGCAGCACCGCTCCAGACCCCGGCCGGTCTGTGTCACGCAGGTACTGTGGGACATCAGCAGAGGCAAATAACAGCTAACATCTAGTGCCTGCTTACACTAACAACTTCTGCAGGTGGTCCATGTCTAACGACAGGACCAGGCTCCCCATCCTAAAAGCAGCCTCTCTCCCCACCCTCCTGTGTAACAGAGGGAGCAATGCTCTGAACAAAGGTGCACGAGTGGGGTACTGCATGCCGATTCCCCTACAGACAGCATACAAATAAGAGCAACCCCACTGCAAACTCTGCACTTCCAGCCAAATGAAGTTTTAACTGCATGTTTACGCAGCCACTGCTCTAGGTGCCCTGGGAAGACCTCACATCATCTTCTTTGGCAAGGTCAGAGTGCCTCAGAGCACAAGATCGCTGGTGAGCAAACACACTTTATTAGAAGTCATGTAAAGCATTTGTAACAGCTATGACAATGCAAAGCACTAGTAATTATCCCTTTTTTTTTTTTTCCCCCAACAGACAACAATGCAAGCAATGCAGCTTCAAAAATTGGAAACCCGGCTCTATCCATATAAATCCACATGTTCAATGATTCCATTTCCAAACCTGCGTAAAACACCACACATTTATTTCCTATGCACATAGGGTCAGATTATAATCTCAGACAGCGCAAGCTATCACATCTGGCATTCAATCCTACTAGGTTACTATTTCATATCACACAGCTCCAATTCCTTACACAGATACATACGAAACATAATGGGACCATGAACTGAGGCTGGGCTTCAGGAATTACTTTGACAGATTGTACACAGACCTAGGAAAATGTGACAGCACTTTACATTTGCAACACCCAATAACATGGGAAACGGCCACGTGTGGCGGGTTTCAGCTGGAAGATAAAGTTCGCGTTACGTGCTGTATAACAGCGTGTGCCACACATGACATCACTGGCTATAATCAGCAACTGTCTTTTAAAAGAAAAATTAATCTCTGGACATCAGCCGCAGGTAACAGGACAAGCTCAGGCTGATCACAGCTCTCGCTTGTTAGAGGTCCAAGCACACGATACTAAAGCACGACAGTTTGATCACCAGCAAGTAAGGAAAGCCAGGAGAAAGGCAAGTGCCAGCTGTAGCTGCCAGCTTGCCAGGGGCCCCACTGAGTGAGAAGCGGAGAATCTGCACCAGCGGCTGTCATGCTCCAGGCTTCCCACTGGGGAAGCCGCTTAGTGGCAACCACAAGCAGCAAGGAACAGGATGGGGAACTCCTGCCACATGAAGGACACTGGTGACAAAAGCCAGCAGGGCATTGCAAGTGCTCTCCCCCACCTGCGGGACAGCCCCAAAGCCACACACAGAGATGTGCACCACGCAAGTTGTGGAGGATTCAAATTCATCAATGGCGAGACAAATTAAGCCTACGAACTTGACCTTAATGGGTTCTTTACACATAACATTAATATTTACTTTTTACAACCACATCTAATTAAAGTCATCTGGCAGCAAGAGAAGGCGTAACTTTAACAGCTTGCCTTTAGCCCAAAAATATTCCCCTTCACTGTCCAGTTTGATAAGCTGATGCATGGAGGGGGCAAGAAGACAAACACCTAAGTTCAGGTTGGAGGGGCGACCCAAGAAATAATATGTTTTACAAGAGCCTCCATTTACACATTAAATTACTTTGTCATGGCAATATGGCCCTCTACCTATTGAAAAACAAACAAACAAAAAACCCTCACACTAATCTAAAGGGCAAGACAAACTAAAATTAAAAAAGCAAGCAAGCTTTGGGAGTCATGCGCTTCAGTTTATTCCCTGTGCAAAGCCTGGGTAGGGGCAGCTGTGACTCCTGGCCTCCGACAGACAACTGAACTCAAGACTAGAGCAACCAAAAACAATCCAAAATGTAAGTCAGGTTTGTCTTATTTTATTAAATTACAGTGTCTTATTTTATTAAATTATAAAGAGATAAGGTAATAAAGATTTTTTTTAAACAAAATTGCATACATTTAGCAACACCTGGAACAGAGTATAACAAAAAATGCAGGACTTCCGTTTTGGTAGCTGTTCAAATGCATACTCAGAGGTCAAATGTGAGCCCATATTTCAGTTGTGTGAAGATGTAACTGAAGAACAATAGAGATAACTCCATTTTTTTTTAAATCAACCTTAACCTAAAACCAAATATTTCATTAGATGAACTACAGTCCAAAAATGACAGCACCTGGCTAGCCTGCGAGGCAGGAAACGAGAGACTATGAACAAAATCAGCTTATCCACTGTCACTGTCCAAACTTGAAAAAAAAAAAAACCAAAACAAACCATAAAGTAAAACAAACAACAAAACACAAAGCTTTTAGAACCGTTTTAATAATGTAACATGATTTTAGACAGGTAAATTTGCTTCTTTAATTTGTTAACCTCACAGTATCATCCCTTGAACATGAATCCAGTACACTTCCATGGTTGCCCTCCCTTCACTTTTGGCTGGGTTTGTCTCCGGCACTGCTAGACAGCCAAGCCCACGTTTGGCAAAATTTGTAACTTAACTTTCCCAAAGCATTGCCACGGGATGCCTATATGCTGTCCCATCCTCACTCAGCTGAGATACAACTTAGCATCAATTTTTTTTTTTTTTTAACAGCACTCACACTCGCACCCAGCCTCTTCCCACTACAGATGAAGAGGTCCCTGTTCTCAAGAACTTACAG